GAAACCTTTAGAAAGTAACTAGATATTCATGTCCAATGATGAAAATGGCTACACATGAGTCAGTTTCCCAGATACTGAGCTAAAGTTTGGTGTGGTAGTAGCTGAGAGTCACATACTTTGAGAGTGAGAGCCTGCGATATCACATGACTTTGCATGTAAAGTTATTTTCAATGTTTTAGTCAAAATGGCTACGACATAAGATGATCTAAGTTGATAACTTTGGTATGAAGGGCGGCAGGATGCATGCATCCCTTCAGGGAATGCTGTATTTTAATTTATTGTTTATTTTTAGTGCAAACGTCTTTGTTCACCTTCAGTGTCATTAAACTTGTCTGTACTGGCAGTCTAATGGTCTGTCACATAAAATGTGGTTTTACATTAGTTATTTGTAGCTGAAACAGAATATTTATTAGCCCTCAGACATGATACGTTTTGTCAGTGTGATCTTGGAAAAAGACTTTGATTGAGTTTGGTGTATTGGCTGTAAATTTATTACCTACTCAGCTGCTGACCTCCCCCCCTCCAGGTGTCCCTGGAGTCAAACCCGATCGGTACGAGGAGGGTTTGGCAGTGAAACACTGTGCCCTCTCCCTGGTGGGAGAGCCAATCATGTATCCTGAAATCAACGCCTTCATTCGCCTCCTCCACCTCCATCACATCTCCAGTTTCCTCGTCACCAACGCTCAGTTCCCCGAGGAAATCAGGTACGTACGCGTCCTGTTACTGCGGCCTCCAAGCCGTTTTCTCCTTCTGTGGTTTGTCCTCACTCTAATGAAACGTCAGAATATTTACCAGCAGATGGACGATATATATATTTTCAATAAAATAATTTTAATGGACCTGTAGTGTGTTTTGCAGTTTGGATGTTTTGATGTATCTTTGCAGATTCTGCGTGACCCAATGGTAACAGAACACCTCCTCTGAAAAAAGTTATACTGTGTAAAATACAAACAAAAAGAGTGCAAAGATGTGCAAATCTCTTATACTTGTATTTTATTCACAGTAGAACATGGTAAACATGTTAGGGTCATGTTTGTTACTGTGAAGCCTCTCTTCTTTTAACAACCGTCTAAGACCTGGGTGACTAGTAGAGCCGGACTGATATATCGTTAGGGCTGATGTTTTAGACCAATATAGGTGTTTGGGAACATATCGGTATCGGTGATAATTGACCCATTATGCACCGATGTAAACACTTCTAATATTCATCCCTAACATGCTGAGAACGAGCCGTGTCCTGACTTGCAAATGACATCATTGTTCAATGTATCCAGCAGAGGGAGCATGAAGACAACTTTCAAGTCATGGCCGTTCACTTTAACTTTCACTTTCAGCACAGCTGAAGCAGGGAGCAATACTGTGTAGTGTATTTCACTGAACCGATCATGGTAAGTTTATTATAACTGATCTGTAAAATTAAAAAAATCAACAATAACAAAATTATCTTCAATCCTCCAACCCGCTTGTTATTAGCTACATGTCTCTCAAGTTAGGGGGCCAAGATGGGGTAGAGGCA